GATAATAAATAAGACTTTATTCACATAAATGTCAGTATCTCTGAACAATGAGCTAGAACTCGTGCAATACAAAATGTTTCCATTGTTTTGTCAGGTACTTCATAAATCCACCGCACCTCTTCTTCCAGCTGAAAGCAGTACAGACAAAAATATGCTGCATTTATCGTCATAGGCACTCATAATATACACAGAGGGGAGTGATCATTACTCCGTCTGTGTCCAGTAAAAATGCACATTTTTGTCAGTACATGCTGCTTTTAAAGAGGTGTCTTGAAAAGCATGGCTGCTGTAATAATGCCATTGAGAAATGAATTGACTGTAATGGGCTGAGAAGATGCAGCATGCAAGCAGATCAAATATTATTTATCTCTACTGTACATAGCTTGCAGTTTCTATAACAACCTCGGTGTCTTAGTTGGCCAATGAGCGGGAACATGTGCTTTTTTTTTTCTCCTGGGCTTGTGTTCCCGTGTGTGTTTTTATACTGTAATGAATCCGAGGTTGATGAGGACATTTAAGCTAACAGTTTGTGTTTGTACAGCGCATATCATGTCTTTGCACTTATTATGATTTGTCCTTGGTATAATCCACAGTGGCAATTTGCCATCAAACTTATTTCTTCATTTTATTTTATTTTATTTATTTATTTATTTATTTATTTATTTATTTATTTATTCATTCATTCATTCATTTATTTATTTATTTTATTTTATTTATTTTTTTTTATTATTTTTTTCTTCTTTTCTTTTATTGTTTTGTTTTGCTTTGCTTTGTTTTGTTTTTATTCCTTACTTTTCTTTTTGGCTTAGTCCCTTTATTACTCTAGGGTCGCCACAGCAGAATGAATGAACAGAATGAACTTATCCAACATATGTTTTACGCAGTAGATGCCCTTCCAGCTGCACCCCATCACTGGGAAACACTCATGTTATCACACACACACATATACACAATACATTATTATCATACTAACAAGTGACTGATGTTGTTGTTGGTTTGCACAGAATCACAGTTTTGACTTTTATTTTCAAACTGTCTGCTAGTTTTTTTTTATTTTCAAGATCTGAAGTAAACTCTGCTGCTGCTTTTAGTAGAATGGCAATAAATGTCACATAAAATGGTATTTAAAGTCTGCATGAACCACTGTGATCATTTTTTAAATTTTTTTTGTATTGTGACAGTTTCTAAAGAAACAAAATATTAAATGAGAAAACAGTGGGTGTGGCTTGTTTTTTTCTACTGCAAGCTGATTGGATGTAGTAAAGTAGGCATTTCATTCAGAAAGATCTGGAAAAGGGTTTTAGGGGTGTTATTACAACCTAACAGACACCTCCTCATCATTATTTCTGTTTGTTGTCAAAACTGACAGTTTTAGGGGCATGGTTTAGTATGTTAGCCACGCCCAGTATCTCAGACAGACGTAATCTCAAGAATTTAACTGAAAACAAACAGGAAGTGCATTTTCAGGTTTAAATTTTATACCACAAGGGCAAATATATTTTTTTTTCTTAATGTCCTGCGCAGATGAATCAACAAAATAATTATGGTTAGTTTTGATTTCATTTGTACTTTTAACTGAAATTGGTAGCATTTAACACTGAATAAAGCGCATAATCTGTATCTGAGGTGATCTTTGTCATAGTAGTAAATGCTATTGTTGTGGCACAACGTTGCAGGAATATTCTTCCGGTAATATGCATTTCTAAAATCGAAATTCCACACATCGCCATCACAGATACAAACATTTTGATATCTTTTATTGCATGTTGCGGTGCAGTGTCTCGTGTAGTTCAGTCATGGTGTTGTGAGTATTGCTAACGAGTAGTTTTAGCTTAAGATTTCAGGCCTACTTGGCGTTCACCTTTGTTCTCATTGACCCAAACTGAATAAGAAGCGATGCTGATGCGATGAACTGCTGACTCTGATTCTGCTTATCGCAGCTCTGTGTTAAAGCGTTTCTGCTAAGCTTGCAGTGACTAAATGCACCTGGAGAAACAAGTTTAATGGCCGTTATTGTGGTTATCTCTGCTATTGTGTACTCAGTAAAGCAGGCTTTTAGGGCACTCTGTCAGCCTGTCTGTCTGAACTATTGTGCTTTCTTTTACAACGATTCAGCGCTTGATCATACACACTGCCCTGCTGGAGGCAGATAAGCAAAAAAAAATGTGTCTGTAAATGAGAAGCATTGAATTTTTACTTATCGAAAGTACTTTTTTGTTGGTGTGCGTACCGGTTTGGTAGCCATTTTACACCTCAAGATATTTTGGTTGTAATGCAAGGAGCTGCATGTGAAAAAATATTTATTTTTCTAACTATATTTCCCCAGTTTATTGATTACATTAGGATCCCGCCAACATTTCTTTGAATAAGCAGTTTTCTAAAGTGTTCTATTTTAATATGCAAATGAGCTTGTTTTATTAAAAAGGCCTCAAAAGTCTGAACACTGGATTAATTTAGATTCAAAAAGATTTACAGGATGGATTTAAGGAATATCTTTCGATCCCTTCAATTTTTGTAGAACAAGATGTTGCCAAATTATGTACTAAAAATTTTAGAATATAGATATGAATAAAACTGTGAGGTTTAAGTGCTGCTGAAGTAGAGATTTAAGGCTCAACACAGGAGAAAAAATTTAAATAAAAAAACAATTGAGAACAAAAGACCCTTAGAAATATGAATAACTCAAATCTATGAAAACAAAAAATACAAAATGCTACAAAAGAAACATTTAAAGGTGTGTTTTTTTATTTAGATTAAACTGGAAAAATGACCAAAATGCTAAACTGACAGGTGCGTTGTTGCCTGCAGTTTCTTTTTCAGTTTATCCTGCTTTTTCTTGAGCCTGCATGATCAGTGTAAAATCTGCTCTTTAAATAGAGTGCCTGGGCTTGTGTCTCTTCGTAACGATGAGCAAATGAATGATGGTTATTTGTGAAGCGGTGTGTATTTCTGTGGATAGTGCTCATCTATAAGAGAATGAATGAGAGTCTTCTTCAATGATTCACCCACTTCAGACGACAGGAGAGCGTTTTAAACTGTTGTAAACTGTGATCGTCTTCCAAAGAGCTTCACGTTTCTGATCCGTGCTTCTCTCTCAGTGCGTTTTCCATGTTGTGAAGGAGACTGGATTTCTGTCAAAATGATTGGAAATGTGTTGTGTTATATGTTTAAATGGTTTGAGGTTTACATCTTATGGTAAAGACAAAGTTTTAAATTCATTTTTTTAAACAAGTCTGTTATGACCTGTTAATTTGGTTAAAATAGGGAAAAGCAAAAAAGGAAAGATTGCACTGTAATTTTTTTTCAATTTCAAGTTATTCTTATTGTTCAGAATTTTTGATTATATTTATATGTGTATTTGCATCTCAGTTATTGATTTTTAATCAAGTTTTTTTTTTATTATTTGATAACTAAAAAACTTCAAATATCAGGTTTTTTTTTATAAAATACTCTGCAACATCAATATCCTCACTGTCAGTTTCATTGATCTGTTGATTCCTTATTGAGTAAAACATTAAACAAATAATTTAAACCTTTAAGTGAAGTTTAATATTAAACTAATTTCGAAAGGAGCATGTGCTCATGATTGACACTGCTAGCTCACATTAGCTAATCACGATCCTCCAATCAAAGGATCCCAAATCACTATCTATATCCTCATTTCCTTTCTACAACTATCTTCGTCTGGAAAAAATTCCCCTTTTTCCACCTTTATTCAGAATGGGTGGCACGTCAGCCCAGTGACTAACACTGGTGCCTCACAGCAAGAATACCACTGGCTCCTTGTCCTCGCAGGACCATCATGTATTTCTGTGCGGGTTTTTTCTCTCTGTGTCCGCGTTGGTTTCCCCAGGGTTCCCCGGTTTTCTCCCACCGTCCAAATATGCTCTATATTATAGGCAAAGTTAGCCTTAGTCTCTTTTGCTAAATGTCTTACTCTCAGGAAGTTCACCTTAGCCTCAGCAGCAGGGGAGTTTTGAGATCCACCTGAGCTCAATCTCCCCTCACTCTGCGAAAAGGAGGGAGGCCTGGGCCCGAGGATTCCTTGTGCTCAGGGCTCTTTCCCGGGACAGCATGCAAAAAAGGCTTTTTATAATTCATGAACTCTTGAAATACAATTTCAATAAATAATAAAATATAAAAAATAAAAGCTTACTAAAAAATAATAAATAAATTAGTGACCCTAATTTTTTCAAAGGTTATGTATTGGCCTTGAAATGATTGCATCGGAAAGTGCCTAAAAAGTTGTAAATCCATTATTTCACCATTTTATTTTTAAAACCGACTGAGAATGCTGCTGCACTCGCACTCCACAGAAATATAATATGAAACTGCCTGCATAAAAACATGATGCAAGTTCTTCCAGAATGTGCAAATAAACTGATGGCTGCTTAAAGATTCACACAGGAACGGAACGAAGCATTTAGTTATCATTTATATCACATCCGCATCATGCCACACAGATATTTTGTGACTCTACAATATTTGCTGACCATGGCGAGTAGCAATAACTGTGCCTCTTGCAGCCATATCTGCACATTTCATGCATGCGGTATCCAGACGAGTCAGCCATTACTGCCAATTTAAGACTGCTTTAGTGACAGACGGCTGTATTTGTCGGCTCTATAAATCTGACAGTATATGTATTTATACAGCTGAAGTCAGAATTATTAGCCCTCCTCAACTATTAGCCCCCCTGTATATATTTGTTTCCCAATTTTTGGTTAACAGAAAAAATATTTTTTTTATAACATTTCTAAATATAATAGTTTGTTCTGTAGACAATCAAAAAAATATTGCTTAAGAGGACTAACAATATTGACCTTAAAATGATTATAAAAAAAATTTAAACTGCTTTTATTCTAGCCGAAATAAAACAATTAAGACTTTCTCCAGAAGAAAAAAATATTATTGGAAATACTCCTTGTAATTCCTTGCTCTGTTAAACATAATTTATGAAATATTTGACTTCAACTGTATATGTGTGTGTGTTTCCACAGGGCTCTGTTTGACTATGAGCGAGCGAAGGACAGTGGTCTGCCCAGTCAGGGTCTCAGTTTCCGGTATGGAGACATTCTTCACGTCATTAATGCATCTGATGATGAATGGTGGCAGGCCAGAAGAGTGACGCCCGAGGGGGACAGTGAGGAGATGGGCGTCATTCCCAGCAAGAGGAGGTGAGCTTCAGCATTTATTACATCTTTTTGATATTTATTAAGTGCTTTAAAAATAATATTTGTATAAAGTGTCAACTTGTATTTGGCATCATCGGAACTCATCAACCAAAACTGGAGTTAATTAAATGATATTGATAGTAATAGTGATAATGATATTGTGCGATAAATAGTGATACACAAAAATAATTTTGCTGCTTGTTCAAAAAACTTATTTGAAATGAGCTGAATCAACATAATTCTTGAGTTTTTTTTTTTTTTGAGGGAATTGTGTGGAACCCATAATTTTTACAATGTATATTATACTGTCAAACATATGGCTGCTTGTCCAAACTATTTATTTAAAATGACCCAAATCAATACAATTCTTGAGTTTTTTTGGGAACAGATTAATTGTTTTATGTTCAATAAACTTACATTTGTAATTAAGTTAACTTTATCAGTTTGTGTTGGGACAGTATTAAGGAATTGTGTGGGACCCAGCATTTTTACAGTGTATAAATATACAATTCAAGTTGAAATCATTAGTTTTAAAGTAAAAAATTACTTCATAAGAAATGAAAAAATTGTCTAGCTGTTTCACAATATACTCATATTCAGTTTAAAGTGCAATTTAAAGTCTTAACTAGGATATTGTGTTGACTCGGCAAGTTTGTTCTTCTGTCGACAATCCAAAACAGATGTTTCTTAAGGGGGGTAATAAGGTTGATCTTAAAATAGTTTTTTTAGCCAGACTAAAAGAAATAACACTTTCTCAAAAAAAAATAAAAATAAAAAAAAAAATATATATATATATATATATATATATATATATATATATATATATATATATATATATATATATATATATATATATATATATAAAAAACTGTAAAAATTGTCTTGGTCTGTTAAACATGGGAAAACATGAAAAAATAGAGGTGGGCTAATAATCTAAACTGTAGGTGTGTCTCAAATCACATACTTATGCACTATTCTATGCCATTTTGTAGTATAAATAGTGTAAGTAGTGCATTCCCACTGAAATATTCTTTTTATTCTAAAAGGAATAAGTTCACTTTAATGACCCGGATTATGCACTTATTCAACTGTTAAAATAAAGTGTAGGATGATGGACACTTCACGCACTCAACAACTACAGCTTTCATATGTATATGAAATAGCAGTTTATCATACATTATTAATGAATTGCATGTATGAGTATTTAGTTAGAGCAGCACTATTAAACTATCTTCATTAATTAGAAAAAAGACATAATATGAGTGCAACTTTTTTTAAGGCGGTATGTCAAGTTAATATTTTATTCCATAATGTTTTGTTTTATAATTAATTGTACTAAATTAACAAGTGAAAGCCTAGATCTAATCATTATCCTACTGCCCTATGTTTAATTTGACTCTGTAAAGAGAACATATAAAGAAAACTGTCATACACACCAAGGCCCTATTTGCTTAATCAACATAAAATTAAAACTGTAATATTTTGAAATGCTATTCATACTGTTATATTCAAATAGATTTTAAGTTTGAACTGATTTATTCCAGTGTTCTGTCAAATGATCCTTTATAAATCATTTTAATATGCAGGTTTGGTGCTCAAGAAACATTTATCAATATTAATGAATTGGATGGATCAGTATTTAGTTAGAGCAGCAATATTAAACTATCTTCATTAATTAGAAAAAGACACTAGTGCATTTTTAAGGAGGTATGTCAAGTTAATATTTTATTTCATTATGTTTTGTTTTATAATTAAATGCACTGAATTAACAAGTGACAGCCTAGATCTAATCATTACCCTACTGCCCTATATTTTATTTGACTTTTCAAAGAGAAAATATAAAGAAAAACTGTATTTTCCCTGCTCCTCTGATACAAAAAGGTTCACTGCACTACACCCAAAATATGCAGCACAAATGCGTTAATTATTCTAATTAACATATATTTTTGCTCATCAGTTCTTAATTTTTATTAACATGCAGAAATTGTCAGCTATAGAATATTTGATTTGAAAAACCAAGTGCATAATGCTCATTTGAAACTAAATTGTAAGTGTTTCTTTTTATTTTAGATTTAGGGTGCTTTCACACCTAGACTTTTGTTTCGGAACCTGTCTCGTTTACCCAGTTACCCGGTTCGTTTGGCATATGTGAATCCAGCAATCGCGCTCGGATCCACGCCAAAGCAATCGCTCCGAGATCGCTTGAATGAGGTGGTCTTGGCTCGATTGAAACGAATCGATTGTAGTGAGAAAGTAATACGATCCGAGCCTGGTTATATCACACAGGGGTGATAGCGTTCCGGCACCACGCCGGATTTCCGGCGTACTGTGGCTGCGGGGGAAAAAAAATCAGGTTCACGGATATTGATCTGTCATTTCTCTAGATTCACAGAATTCACTCACTGCTGAAAGCGCCGGATTGGTTTTTATTAAGTGCCATTTTGTGTGCTCGTGAATCATCCTTTGAGTGTAGACGCCATGTAAATAAAAGATTAATTGTGTAATTTAGAGAGCTTTATAAATTATAACGGATCTTTGTGAGATCTCTATGAACTAAGATTAGTGACTGATAATAAGAGGAGCGTGCTTTGCACTTTCCAGGCTATAATCCATTCAGAATTTGTATGAAACTTTTGTTTTCGGCACATATACACTGATATGTTTTGGGAATGACATCTGCATATTTACGCTGGGTTTATTCTTGAAATAACGGTGAAGCAATAGACGGGACAAAAATATATTTCCCCCTTCTCCTTAAACAATATTGTTTCAGCTATGAAATAGTTCAGTTTTGTATGTAGCCTAATGGCAAAGTGTTTATATTTAGTTTCGTTTTTTATTCGGCTTATTTAGAAAAACGTTTGGAGCATTTTTTATTCGTTAAAAATAAGTTTTTTTAACGAACAGCGCCCAGCGGAAGACCATCATTGTCTGTTTGATCAGTTTGCCTTCTCAGATCATCACGACTTGCCTAAAATAAAAGATATAAAACCATTCAAGTATAAAACAATGGTAGCTTAAACGTTAAAGAATGTGTGCTATTAGGCGCATAGTTTGCTTATAAAAAGCTTGCAGGACATCGAGGCGCCAGAGCAATCACTTGTATTTTTTCAGTGGGAGCAATTTAAAGTTATCCGTCATTTTTGCTCACAGAGTACGAGTAATACATCAAAAAACGTTACAGCGTTTTTATAAAATAAAGAAAACCAAAATTATGCGCTTTCTGTCGTCTGGTTTTTGAACAGGAGCGCTTAACAAAATGATCAAAATGTATATGCCTCACAGACATAATAAATATATTTATAGAAAGCTTTAAATTATTACTTAACGAAATAAAACAAATCGAAAACAAAAAAACTCCATGTAATCCGTAAAGATGAATTTCTCTCTAAAGGCGAGTCCAAGAGGAGATTGCCAGTCAGGATCTTTGCGACACTGACTCAGAATAAGTTTATTAATAAATAATTAAGATATGTCCTTACTCTTTCCTCGACACATTCATTGTTATTTGTTTTTGCCGGTGCTTGGGGCGAGTTTTAGCTTATTGTGTGCGCTTGAACGCGGATTCACAGTAGCAGTTTTAACATGGAGTGACACGACATCTGACGTACAGATGACACTGGCACATGCCACTGAGTGTAGTGACACTTTCGGTGGCACGTCCGGTTTTCCACTGTCATGTGTCACTCGCTAGTGGCATGTGTAGTGACCTGTGTCACTCAGAGTGTCGCGCTGCATGTCACTGCAGTGACATCGACACCCGGCGAAGCTTATGACATTAATTAACACGAGCAAAACCATATTTAATCATTACGCGACTTTTAACCTAATTTATTGCGTCGCAAGTTAGTTTATTTGCTGAGCTACTCCACGATGTTTTAATTTAAGCGCATTCATTTTATGTATTCGTAGTCATACTTCCGTACGTAATATAGTAATTTGACAGTACATGTCAGTCAAATTTATTGTGGCATGCTTATGTATGGGAGGGGTTACACTTATCTGTTGTACTGTATATTATTGCATCCTGGCAGTTCCTTTGTTCCCTACAATATGGACTTCTCTATGTTTTTAATTCATTCATTTATTTTATTATTTAACTTATTTTCATTTTAAGGTATTTTAAATAATATCCTTTAAAAAGTTATAATAAAATGCATGTTGAAAACTCATAACATATATGCATGTAAGATAACAGTCATTTGCCTAATGATTTTTAAATATTAAAGCAAAGAGACTCATAAGATTAATGTGCTTATAACGTGCTTATACTGACACCTACTGGCACATGTCACAAGATCACTGACACTGGCATGTGTCACTGACATTACTGGCATGTGTCTAAAAAGAGCCGCTTGACAATAATGATGATCAGGGTTACACATAGGCTGTTAATATATTTGGGCCCAAGGGCCCACAAGTTTTGTGTTAAAAGTGCATACATAGTACCCCCACCCCTACTCACCTCAGGGACAAGGAAAAAAAGTTCAGGCTCAGGAATTTTTTCCACTATCAGCCCTGTATCACAGTGTATTATGGATATGCAATATCTGATTTCAGCATTGTTTTTCAGATAAACAAGAATGTTTATGCATGTTTCTTAAATATCTGCAAACATGTTAGGGTATTTGTATCCTTTAGAAGAGTCAAAAACTTACATACAACAACCTTAACAATCACAAATAAGCTGGCAATTTTTTTTTGTAAAAACCATACAAAGGTAATGTAAGTGCACTTGCAACTTTGTTTCCATTTTTGTTTCAGGGTTGAAAGAAAAGAGCGAGCTCGTCTGAAGACGGTTAAATTCAACGCAAAACCCGGCAGCCTGGATTCTAAAGGGGTAAGCATTCGATTTGTCGAGTGGTCCGCTTGATTTGATCAGTGCCAACATCCCTGCTTTTTCTTTGCCCCAGTTTTCAGGAAGTGCCTCATGATTTAATGACAGTTTAGACCAAGTTCAGCAGCAGCCCAGGTTGCTGCGTCTCTTCACTCATCCAGTTTAATATCTGTCCGTCTCTTTATCCGCTTTAGCTCCTGTCGCGCCCCGTCATCTTGAATTTACTTTCCCATTTCAGGATGCGCTGGTGGGTCATTGAGTCAGAATAAAAGTGTGTGTGTAACACTCCTTCTGTCCTTCTGCCGCAGTGTGACAACTCACTCTCAGCAGCATCACTACTGCAGCACAACTCACACACATTTTATATTTACACATAGACGTATCTCATAATACGTCTTTTATTAGATCAGTAAGGTCACCTGTAGCAGATATTACCTTATGTGTGCTCGTATTTGAGAAATGAATCAGATAATACTAAAGGATGCAGGATGTATTTTTAGTTCGGCACAAAACCGCAGCGCTGATTTTTTAGCCTCATGATTCCCAGTTGTATCCATAGCAACATCGCAGGCAGGACTGCAAATTTCCCTTTCTTTCTTGTTTCTGTCTTCTTTTTTTCCCCTTCTCTCTCTGTCTTTTGAAGACGGGAGAGGAGTGGGGGTGTTGGCACTGATGGATTACTTGAGGATTTTGTTGTGTGCTTTTCGTCTTTGTGTTCAAATGCACCAACTTGTGTATGTATCATTTCAGGTTCAGGGTTTGTAGTGTTGATTGTAAAGGCATTGATCAGAATTGTTTACAAGGCTGATAGACAGGATTAGTGTCATGAAAGTTATGAGAGTTTGCTTTAAACGCTAGCAGGGGTGCGGTTAGATTAATTACACTGCGTATGAATTAAATTGAGGAAACGTATACAAAATACACACAAAACTGACAAATGTTTACCCATTAACCTTGTTAAGAAATGTCTGGGTTGTATTTCACCCCCCAAAAAATACATAAATTAATGTTTGCATATTAAGCCTTTAGTAGAACCATAGACTGATTTCACGTGGCCGCCATTTTTAAAAGCGTAAGCGAGGCTGTGGTGGAAAGAAACCCGGAAGTATCTCCTGAGTCACACAGGAATGTTGGTCACCTGTATATCTTGTCAGTGAAGAGAAAGTGACACAATTTTTATGATTTCACCGACTTCCGAGTGACCTGAAGGTCTGTTCTGAATGAATAGTAAAAATAAAAAGGGATATCAGAGCTCATTTTCAGCTAAGTTAAGTGAAATGGCACTAGTTTTACCTGGACAACACTATTACAGACAACATAAGGGTGTGCTACAGAGGACTGCATTGTTTTATCGCTCACTGGGTTACATAGGCTAAAGCAGGGAAGCGTTGTCACAGTGTTTACCTGGTACCATGAGCTTAAAGCCTAGGAGGACATTTAAGCATATTACTCTTAAAGAGATTGTGATTTTGTTTGATGCCTAATATGCTTTTAATTGTTTCAATTAAACTTACTGAATGATGTTAAAGTGATGTTTACACGATTTTGAAATCACGGCAAGAGCTGGAGGTTTGTAGTCCACAGCATGTTGCTGCAATGTTTACAGTGTTGGTCCTATACTTCCGGGTTTCTTCTCACCGCAACCTCACTTTCGTGTTTTAAAATGGCGGTCGCGTGAAAAAAAGCGTAATAGACATCATGATATATCTTCAATAATATGAAAAGAAATAAAAAATGAGCAGTTATATTAGTAAACACCTTGGAACTATCATTGGTCCATGGCAGTTAAGTAATAAGTGGGTGAGGCTTTGCAGTTCTACACTGAAAAAAATTATTCAAAGATGATACCTTGGGTTTACTCATATTTTTTATGTTAAGTGGTTGTAAACAGTTTGTTTTGGCTGAATTTAAACAAATTAAGTTGAACATTAATAATTTTAATTTGTTTGTTCAGCAACAATTTTGCAGAAATATTTGTTAGGTGTTTACAGTGCTCCGCATAACTGAGTATACCCCATTTTGAAAATCAATATTTTTTCTAATTTTTCAGTGAATATAGGCAATGTATTTTGGTGCATTTAAACAAATCAGATTGATTAAACAAATGTAATTATTAAAATAATATTTAGTCATCAAACATATAAGTTTCTCAGTTCAGTCCATCAGTATCTGGTATATATGAATAAAACATCTGACAATAATCAATAGAAATTAATGTTTGATGGGATAATTCGGCTAAAAAATGTTAATGTACTCCCCCTCAAGTGGTAGCTTTATGAGTTTATTTTTTTTCTGTTAAACACAAACGAAGTTACTTTGAAAAATGTTGGAAACTAGTAACCAAGTACTTGCATAGGAAAAACAAATGTTATGGAATTCAAAGGTAACAGGTTTCCAACATGTTTTAAAATGACTTATTTTGTGTTCAATGAGAAGAAAGAAAGTCAATCGGGTTAGTGTTAAGTGAGGGGTGAGTAAATTATGACAGTTTTTTTTTTTTTTTTTGTTGAACAAACCCTCAAATTCTAACTGAAAGCAACACCATGGCAGCCTTTCATGGTTTAATACTATAAATTTGTGCATGCATTTTTGCTGTTATCAGATACTTTTGAAATTGATTTTCTCATCGCTGTTCTTTTACTTGTTTATTTTGTTATTGAGAAATTTTATGCGCAGCACATTTTCATCATTATGTTTGCATTGTAACACTGCTCACACCTGAAATTGCTTTGTGATGACCAAAGCCCTGTTAAAATGTGGTCTGTAATATTAATTAAACCATCATTGACAGAGCGTTGCCAAGTAAACTTATTTTAAGCAGCACATATCCTTTTTAGGGCCTTTAATAAGCCTGTCACAATAATCAATATATGGACTTATCGCACAAGACAGATGGATCTGGTAGCAGATACCGCAGCCTCTGTTATTTTTACCTTGCACTTTTTTTTTGTTAACATTATTATTTTTTTAGGATATGCGTTTTCACATTCTGATTCCAATGCTTAACTCTTAAATTGTTAAAATGACTATAATTAAATGTAGTATTCTTAAGAATAAAATATGAAGTGTTAGGAAGTGTACTTGCATCATGATGATATTGTATTGTCATTCAGCACTGTAAAACCCAATAAGTTAAGGTAATCTAAACCATTTGAGGAAACCAATTTCAACAAACCATTTAAGTTCAAAAACTAATCCTAATGAGTTCTGTGAGCCTAATCCATTTGAGTAAATGAAGCAATCTGAGTTGAGGCAGCTCAAACTATTTCAAGAGTTCACACTTAGCTGATGATTTATAAAAGCTTGTTTGGCATGCTGTCCCGGGAGAAAGCCCCGAGCCCAAGGACTCCTCGAGCCCGGGGCTTCCTCCCGAGAGGGGAGCCTGAGCTCGGTGGATCTCAGAACTCTCCTGCTGCGGTAGCTAAGGGAACACGAGGAGTTAGATAAATGCTTGGTTGTTATGTATGTTGAATGTCTTTGGATGGTGGGAGGAAACCGGAGAACCCGGGGAAAACCCATGCGAACACGGGAGAACATTCAAACTCCTCACAGAAACACCCACCGGCCCTATGGAACCAGGGCCGGCAGTGTTCTTGCTGTGGGGCTCACAGTGCTAACTTCTGGGCCGCCGTGTCGCCCAGTCAAAGGTAAAGAAGGAGAAAAGGAGAGGAGGTGGGTTTCTTCCAAACGAAGATAAAGTGAACTGAAAACTGCGGTTATTTATAGTAGCTTAGGGCTCGTATGATTGGAAGATATTGATTATCAAATGCGAGACCGGCCATGATAAATCATAAGCATGTGATTCTCTCGAAATTAGTTTATGAATAAACTTCACTTAAGGAAACCAATTGCTACAAAACATTTAAGTTAAAAAAAACTAATGAGTACTGTGAACTCATTTAAGTTGAAGTAATGAGGTGTTGAAATAACTCATTGCCTTCAACACTGAGTTCAAAACTCTTTTTAAATGAGTAGAATTAACTTTCAGTACATTTTGAGTCAACTACACTCATTTCATTTGATAAAGTCGACTGTTGGGTTTTACAGTGTGCCATTATATAACGATTGGCATGAAATGTCTTTAACTGACAATAATATTGTTTATCGCAATATATTTTGGTGTAATATATCGTACAACAAAAATAGATATTGTGACAGGTTAAGCTTAGAAGATATATACTATAAGATGCAGGTTACAGCACTTTGGAAGATGCTCTTATTAGCTATTTTCCTCAAAAAAGATCTGGTAATAATAATGAACCCTTAAACAAAAGACCTTTACTCATAACTAATTAAATAAAATAATTACTTTTGGGGTGAAAAATGATCTGGACATTTTGTTGACAGGTTTCTTCAATGCAATATAGATCATAATTGATCAGCACATTGAGCTTCGGTTGAACAAATTAGCTAGAAAATCCCATTTATGCACGTTTGTGTTACTTAGTTTATTTTTCTTTGCATTATATATCCATTCTAACCCCTGATATCATAATAATACACATAAGTACTACAGATATCGCCCCTTCCTTCAGCATGTCACCCAGCCAGGACTGTCCTGCATGCTTGTTTTTTAGTAAAATATGAGTTAGTATTTCCCCATTTGCCTTTGCATGGCACTAAACCAGCTTCAGTTGGCCGTCATTGTTTACCTCCCTTCTATGTTCATTCCTGTTGGTCATGTTTTAATTTGAATACATTCGAGCTGTCTGAAAACAGCTCAGGTGCTGGGACGTCATGGACAGACAGACACGGCACAAAAGAACACGATTCAGGATCATCCAAGTGCTTTCAGCTCACGCCAAAAAAATAACATAATTAGTACAGAAAAATGAGCGAATGAATGAGTGAATGAAAATGATTGAGTAAATTCAATTATTAAGCGTCCAGCCAGTGCAAACGAAACACTCCACTTGGATGTTTGCCTGCTGTCCCTGATGTCCAGCACCGGCCGTTGTGTTGTTTTTGTCAGCATGATTGTGACAGCGTTTAGAGCCCCCTGTTTGCACCATGCTCTCTTTCCGCACAGTCATTCAGTGAAAAACGTAGAAAGAACTTCATCTTTTCACGCAAGTTCCCTTTCTACAAGAACAAGGACGCCGATGAGCAAGACGGCAGTGACTCGGAACGTAAGTAGCCAGAATTGCACATGCACCCTGACACGTAGGTACATGACACCACACACACATCTTCGGGGTGGGGGAAAGGTTTAGGTGTGTTTAGGTAGCTCCAGGAAGCCCTTGCCCTCCTTCTTCTCATCCCACCAACAACCTTACTGTCTCTCTCTCTGTCTCTCTCTCTTTTGCTCTGTCTTTCTGTCTCCCGTCCTCTTTCATTCTCTTTCTTTCTTCGCCCCCCTGATCGGCTGTGTGGTGTAGGACATCTCTGGAATAGGGGAGGACGGGTACGGAGCAAAGACACTGAGTAAGTGTGTTAAGGAATGGACCCAATACCCCTTTCCCAAGCGCACATTTGAGTTCAGATCTGTTGTTTGTTTTTTTTTTGTTGTTTAGTTTCTTTTCTGTCGCGTCAACTACAGGCCTGTTTGCATGTCAGAATACTAATGTGTGTCGGTCCACTGGTTCCCAGTGTTTTAGGGATTCCTGTCATCCTTAGCTTAGATCAAATGTTGCATGAACATACATAACATTGTGTGGGAATAGTTTGTCAAATGTTTGTTTAGTTTGTTTGTTTGAGATTGTTCTTGTGTTGCACTTTTTATGATGTTTAGTTTTGCGCAGATGGCAAAATTGGCATGTGCGCCAGTGGTTTAAAGATTTAAATAAATCAAATCTTGCTGCGTGCATGAGAGTCAGAATTATTAGCCCCCCTTTGAATTTTCTTTTCTTTTTTAAATATTTCCCAAATTATGTTTAACAGAACAAGAAATTTTTCATAGTATGTCCGATAATATTTATTTCTTCTGTAGAAAGTCTTATTTGTTTTATTCCAGTTAGAATAAAAGCAGCTTTAATTTTTTTAAACACTATTTTAAGGACAAAATAATTAGCCCCTTTAAGCTATTTTTTCAAACGCCATTATACAATAACTTGCCTGATTACCCTCACCTGCCTAGTTAACCTAATTAACCTAGTTAAGCCTTTAAATGTCACATTACGCTGTACAGAAGTGTTTTAGAAAATATCTAGTCAAATATTATTTACTGTCATCATGGCAAAGATAAAAGAAATCAGTTATTAGAGATGAGTTATTAAAACTATTTTGTTTAGAAATGTGTTGAAAAAAGCTTCTCTCTGTTAAACGGAATTTGGGAAATAAATAAACACGGGGTCTAATAATTCTGATTCAACTGTATATGCATTTGTCTATATATGTGAATTTAACCCTTCAAAGGTTGTACTCACATTAGACACAGTTGTCTTGAACTATGCCCAGGCGCGATTGTTCCCCCTTGACCCACACTCACATTTTTTGCCTTCCAAGCCTAAGCATGCTTACGTCAGCAATGATACGTCTGTTTAGTTTAACAGAGAAGAAGCGCACTCGCTCCGTACAATGAACATTGCTTTAATTATATCCTCCTGAGACCCAAAGATTTTTTTTCTTTTTTCTTTTCCTTTTTCTGTGATTTCCTACATCCTTTGGGTTTGAATTCCACAATTTACAGTTTATAATTGTGTTTTTATTTTTAATTTTACAGCATATCCACTGTAGTGGACCACAGGACCATTTTAATTTGAAACGACTACCAAAACTGTTCAGGATATGGCTGTAAAGGAATATTAATCCAATATTAATATAACAAAAACTAAACCAAAGCCATTTTTTTCCTTTTATATTGAAATTCTTGAAACAGTTTAGTCTGAAAGTGAGCCAAACTATAGTGGACATTCAAAAAGGATGATATTTTGAAACACAAACAAGTTAACAGCTTTGAAAGCTAAATGTATTGTTTCTGACAGTTTAATAAACAAATATATATATATATATATATATATATATATATATATATATATATATATATATATATATATATATATATATATATATATATATATATATGTAACAATAATAGTAAAAAAAACATTTAAAAAGCAAGAATTTACATGCATCTCTCCTTCCCATAAAATGTGCTTGTTTGTATGCCGGCCATTTTGGATGCAGTGTAAGAAGTGGTTCTTAGCATGCCAGCCAGTCAATTACAGTATCACTAGAAAGCCCAGGATGTCCTCTGCACAGTACAACAGGACTTGACACTAGCTCAAAAAATTCAAAGAATATTCATGAAAACACAATATCCACTATAGAGGACACAAGTCAATGGTAGCGGTCTCAGGAGGATATTGTTTTGAATTATTTGAAGTCGTTTGATATGCAGTGAGACAGTAAAATCTTTTGCTGAACAGATCCACCACTTTTGACGCTCATAAATGTTCATGAAATCACCGAGCTGCACGAATTGGGAGGTTTGCTGAAGGTGCAGCTGACGTACAGGCATGTCATGACTTTGCCAAGTATGATGCGATCCTGGATTAACATCTATGTTGATCCTGCAACATCATTTTTGTTTGAAAACGTAATCCATATCTATTCACTAAATCAGAGGGGAATAATAGTTGGATAACACTCATGTAGAAGTACATAAACTTAACCATAAGTCTAAACTCTCATCATAAGTTGTATCCCTTAATTCTGATTGGCTGATTGAAATGTTGTTCAAGGTTCAACATAAATGTTACACATGTCCTACTTGGTAAAATCAGGTTAGGGGACATACAGCAGGGGTTTTGTATCTTTAATAATCTATGACAGTTCTCATTCATTGAAAAGAAGGAATGATTAAAAAAATCCATATGAAATAGTCGCTTACAAGTGACGTTGCCTCTTCAGTTTCGCGATATGCACTCACACTACAAGTGTACCGCAACAAAGCCCAACCGTACTGTGCTCTGGCACATGGCCAGCCTACTAAACAGTGCCTGGCCCCAATTTAGAGCACTCACACTTGTCAAGTTAACTGAGGAATGAGGGTCAAACATGCCTGGGCATAGTTGGGACAGCTATGAGTGAGTACACCCTAACTCTCACCTCACGTTCCTGCAAATAAATCCTAATCTAATCATGACAAACTATATATCATTGACATGTTTAAGTCTCCACAATACATATTTAATTGTTGTTTTTTGTTACATAGGAAGGGTAATTGCTTAAAACACATTTACTCCCGCCTGACATTCTGTGGGAACATTTATGATTACGTGTTTAAAGCATAATAATGAACCTTAAACATAGCAATCACGACAACCTATTACTGGAGAGGTCTAAGTCTTCTAAATACATATTTACTAGGGATGTAACGGTATTGTAAATACCGTCATACCGCAATATTAATTTTTTTCGATATTACCGAAGTCGCATGACTCGGTAAAACTATAGGTCTTCTGAGAAAATTTGCTCAGGCGAATGAAGCGAACGGGAGGTAACGAAAACTACAATACCCATCAGCCCATGCTTGACCATCATCCCTTGCGGTCTGTTGTTGCTACAGATCCAGTAATGCGGAAATGGAGTGTGCTGCTAGAAGCGGGGATGAAAAGAGCTGGAAAACTCTAAAGCAGGTCGCACACCAGAAGCGCCGCTCGGCGCCGCGACACGGCGCGTACATGACAGATTAAAGTATCACACACCAGACGCGCACATTCGAATGATATTTAACATGAAACTAATCAGATGGCGCTCTGTGGCGCGGCTGAAAAATGAACTGCGTCCTGAGCCGTCGCCGGGCGCCGCCGACAGCCGCTGACTTGCGGCGCCGGTGTGTGTATCCTGATAGAAACCTATGATTAGAATTCTAAAATACGTGGCGCTGCGCGGCGCGCCGCCGAGCGTCGCTTCTGGTGTGCGACCTGCTTTACACGCACAGTTCAGTCCTGCATTATCTCCGTGTAAGTTCAGACTTCGCAAGTTTGATCAAGGCTGCAGTCTCTTCTTCTCAGTTTGACATGGAAAAGCAGATTATACCGAGGACACGGGTAAATCTTCAAAGGGAACAGTGTACTTTATAACTTCATTCACATCACCCTGGCTTCGTTGTTTCACTTTCTCAACAATAAAATGTAAACATGATTTAAGGAACTGCCTATTTTCATTTTTATATTAGCAACTTAGACAGCAGAAATGTTGAGGCGCCGTGCTGCATAAGATGAGCGTCATCTTCACTGTGTGCATATTTATAACAAAACGGAGCCGATAACAACTGCCTCCTTTCAATTTCAGTGAAAATATGAAACACAGCCTCTCTTTTGCTGAATATCAGTTTTAAGAATCGATAATGGCCATTTTAAAAGTATAACATACAATAAGTTTTTACATTATAGAAATAAAGGCAAGCGATCAGTCAATATACAGAATGTACGTGGTTACATTAATCATTAACTTATCTTTGCGCTCAGCCAAAACACGTTACCTGAGAACAAGTAATAGATTCCAATGACCAAAGTCAGGGAATATGTCGTTAGATAAAGACAACAAGATAAATGAAATATCCCGTTTAATAAATATAGTGAGATTAGATCCAGCGGGAGATGAGAAGTCCGACTAGCAGAGCTCTCATCAGGGTAGATGGGCTGAGTGTGATTAAATGTTGAATGTGATGAGTTTTCAACAATACTAAATTGAAACTTTATTTTTTTACATGGTTTAATAATTTTTTGTTATTAAAATTGAAGTTCCTGTTTCAAAGCTTACAGATAGATGACTAATTTGTATGTCATTGACACTTTTGGCACTTTTTTGGAGTATTTTCATAAGTTTTGTTTTTTCCTGTAAATGATTCAATAAATACCGTACCGTGACATTCATACCGAGGTATTACCGTACCGTGAAATTCTGATACCGTTACATCCCTAATATTTACTATTCTTTTTTATGTAGGAAGAGTAATAAATTAAAACACCTTTACTGCCGGCTGACAACCTGCAGGACCATCTACGGTTACATGTTTAAACCATAATACACTCTCAGAAAAAAAAAAATGGTAGGTTGTTGTACCAAAGAAGGTACAAACCCTTTTCACTGGGGCAGTACCTTTTTATGGGACAGAGTTGTACCTTAAGACAAAGAAAAAAATTTGGTCCCACTTTATATTAAGTGTCCTTAACTACTATGT